ATGATGGTGATGATGAATAATATTACGGTGGTGGTGATGCTGCTGTTGCTGATGAGGATGATGATGACGAGGAGGAGGAGGAGGAGGAGGAGGTGGAGGAGGAGGAGGAGGGGGGAGATTCCGACCAGCTTGTTGACTGGACTTGTCGTTTAAAGTAAATTTCAAAACGTAACCTTTCATAGGCCCGCGCGGATTTCTGGGATCGGCGCTGACCCCGCCCTGGCGTGTCGCTGGCGCCGTAGGGCGCCAGGGAGTGGCTGGGGGGGTGGGGGTGGAGCACCGACCCCAAACATTTGCGCAGACCATCGAACGTTATTTATGCTTGGTCTGCAATTGTTTCTTCTAGATGTTGCTGCCCCCCCCCGACCGTCCTGATGACCAGTGCTTTGGCGACCCAACGGCGACATCCTGGAACACCGAATCTTTGCCGACCGCATTGTCTCTGGCATGACCGGGCGGGTTTCTCCGAGCGCTGTAGAAAGGCTCGCCCCGAGCGCTTCAAGTAAGGCGATTCGGGACGATTGCATTCGGTAGCAAATCATGGGAGCCTGGTATTCCTTCTTAACTCCGTCTTTAGCGTCGATTAGGATCGATTAGCGTCTGGGAGTCGATGAGATAGCGCCGACTTAGCGTCCGTTAGTGTCGGTTAGCGTCGATTTAGCGTCGATTCGGGTCGATAAGCGTCGATTCATAAGATCTGACAAGATGGCATGGGAGGCTCCCATGAGTTGCCACCGAAGAGTTCATCGCCGTTGATATTGATCGGAAGTGGCAGGATGCAAGCGTCGGCGTCTGGTCTCTTGCCGCCGCCAGTGTTGCCCCGAGCCCTTCACCCGTCCGCGCTCAGAAAATCACCTACCTGCTGAACCACGCGAAGAAGTATCAGCACCTGCTGGACGAGCTTCCTGTTTCGTGGAACGCCACGAAGGAGGAGACGCTCGACTACATCCGAGCGAAAGGGTAGCCCCTCACGGCTTTTCTGCTTTGTGCCGCGGTGGTCCCGCCTCTCCGATGGGCTGGGGGCCAAGAGACTGTCGAACGTGTCCTGGCCGCGCCACAGAAACGCCGAAATACATGTTTGCCAGTCACACGCATATGCGTACAATGCGCACTCTTACACAGGTGACGTGTGTATGTGGGAACGCGCACGCACATATCTATGAACGTGTGTGTACATATGTAGTGGCCTTCGTTCGGCCCATCCGCCACCGTGCCTGTGTTTTCGGTCAGAGGCCCCTTGTATGCCTGTGGGGACCTCTTGGGAGGCCGCTCAGAAGCTTGTTGGAGGTGGTTCCAGGGGTGCCTTTGTGCCTCTCGGGAGCCTCCTGGGAGCCTCTTGGGGCCTGATCTGGGCTTCTTGGGGCCTCCTGGGGCTTCTGGGGGTCCTCTTGGCGGCCTGCTAGCCGTCTCCGTGGTCGTCTCATTCGAGTTCCCCCTCTTCGGGTGTGGGGGGCACGATCCGTGTCACATAAAACAATGCGGGCTATTCTCGCGCGTTGGCCGCGAGCGCGTGTCGAGCTCATTCCAACACCTTCACCTCCGACACGAGGACATCGTTATCGTTATCGGCGGGCGTGGTCAACATCGGCGCCGTCGTTGGCCTTGTCGTCGTCATCGCCGCCATCGTCACCATCGTCGCAACTCCCATCATCGTGTCTACGGTTGTCGGCGTCGCCATGGTACCGCGCCCGCCGCGCCGCACTAGCTGGCCGCTGCTCGCGCGAGCATGCGCTGGCTAGCGCGGCCGCAGAGACGCACCAGCCAGTGCCGAGCATTCATGGCAATCGCCGTCGCATGGGTTTTGCAAGCCAAGTTGCGAGTGGGTGGGTGGGATGATTGCGCGAGCAGTGGAGTTGACAACTCATTGCGAGCATGGGTGATTTGCACCACATAGTTGCACTACGTTCACTGTACAACGTTTTTTTGCACGACACATTTTGCAACACGTATCCTGCACAACATACATGAGCACCATGCGTATTGCACACCACATGTTGCTAACGACACATGGTTTTGGGCCCACGTTGGCGAATGTACATTTACATACATCTCTGTCGGCAAACTTGATCATCTCCCTCCTCATCTGTGATACACCACGCCGAACGCTGTCCAACACGGTCCAACAATACTACCACACCCCAAAACGTAACGCACGTCAGTGCACACCTATGTAAACGAGTTCCAAGTAAGTCGCGGAAAGCAGCGTGCATACATGTCATGCAGTACTAAGTAACGCAACGGAGTGCACGTTAACGCAAAGCAGCGCAACGCAAGGTAATGCAATGCAGCGCAACGCAACTCAGTGCAGACATTACCAAGCGAGGCAACACATTGCAAAACAACGCACAGCAGTGCCCAGCAATGACATCAATGCAAAGCAATGCGAAGCGATGCAACGCAGTACGAAACAATACCAAGCAATACGAAGCAACGCGCAGCAATGCAGAACAATGCGAAACAGGGCGTACCAATGCAACACAATGCTCACTAATGCAAAACAGTGCCACGCGATTGCAAAACAATGCGACTGCAATGCGATGGGGCACACCAATGCAAAGTAACTAACAGCAGTGCAACGCAATGCAGAACAGTGCAGACCAGTACAAGCAGTGCAAGGCAGTGCCAGCCACTGCCAAGCAAGACAATGCAATGCGCAGCAATTCGAAGCAAAGCGCATCAATGCGAAGCAGTGCAGAGTCAGCGGCGATGAGGAGGCGGGCGGCGACGTGGGGGCGACCGCGGCCACATGGCGGCCACAACGGCTCGCAGGCCCAGGCGGCGGGCGGCGACGAGGCGGCGACGGCGGCCACATGGCGGCCACAACAGCTCGCAGACCCAGGCGGCGGGCGGCGACGAGACGGCGACAGTGGCCACATGGCGGCCAGAGCGGCCCGCAGGCTCAATTCTTTGGAAGACAATTGAGAAGTCCATATTGCAAGCGCTGTTTCGGGGAAAGCGACAAATGCACCCAAACGCCCCGACGGAGTCAGGCATGCCGCATATCTACACACGACCATGGACGCCCAGCGCAGTTCGCCAGTGTCTGGTTGTCTCCTGCCCCCCCGTCCTGTAGCCGCGGCTGGTGAGCAGGTGCCCTCTCAATCCAATCCATTGCTTGTCGTACCACGTCCCGGGCTTTGCAATTTTTGTTTGTTGTTGCATTGATGTTGTGTGTGCATGTATATATGTATATATGTTTGTTTGTTTGTTTGTTTGTTTGTTTGTTTGTATGTATGTATGTATGTATATATGTATGTATATATATATATATATATATATATATATATATGTGTGGTGTGCGTGTGCGTTCGTGCGTGGCGTCGTGCGTGAGTAAGAGAAGAGGATAGAGAAGACAGAGAGAGGAGAGAATGCGTGTGTTTGTGTGTGTGGTGTGTGTGGGTGTGTGTGTGTGTTGTGGATGCGTGCGTGCCCGTGCGTGCGTGCGTGCGTGCGTGCGTGCGTGTGTGTGTGTGTGTGTGTGTGTGTGTGCGTGTGCGTGTGCGTGTGCGTGTGCGTGTGCGTGCGTGCGTGCGTACCTGTGCGTGTATGTGCTTGTTTTTGCTCTCAGTCCTCCTGGGTTGTTCGGTCTTCGTTATCTCAGCGCAGCGCCGCCCGCACGCCTCAGTCCTCACCTCTTTCCTGCCTCCTTCTCTTCCTCCTCACCTCCCTGTCTCTGCTCTCCGTCCGCATGTCCATTTCGGCTCACCTCTCTCACGGATCGTGCCCCCGCAGGGTGCTCACCTGCGGCCCCAGCGGGCGTGTGCGCATGGCGGCACCGCGCTCCATTTCGGCGAAACCGTCACACGTTTCGTGCCCCACAGGGAGCTCCACCTATGGCCCCAGTGGGTGCGTCTGCATGGCGGCGCTGTGCCAAATTCGGTGCACCCCTCACGCGGATCGTGCCCTACCGAGCTCCATCTACGCCCCAGTGAGTGCGTCCAATGGCAGCACCGCGCCCATTTCAGCGCACCTGGAGCACCCCGTCTCCTCCTCCTCCTCCTCCTCCTCCTCCTCCTCACTCCTCACTCCTCCTCCTCCTCCTCCTCCTCCTCACTCCTCCTCCTCCTCCCGCCTCTCCCCTCCCTCCTCCGCCTCGCCCCCCTCGATCCTCTGGCCGCGGCCGCAAGACGTGGTGGCGGGACCGCCGCGGGCGCCCTTTGTGTGCCGCCAGCGGCCGCGCCCGCAGTTTTCACGCGCACCAGCGCGCCGCCGGCGCGCAGCCGCGGCCCGTGGGCGCCGGCGGCCTCTGCCCCCTGCGGCTCCTCCCTCCTCCTTCCTCTCTCCGTTCTTCTCCCTGCTCCCTCCTCACTTCTCCTTTTTCTCCTCCTCCTCCTCCTCCTCCTTCTCCGTTCTCTTCTTTCTCCTCCTCGGTGTAAGTGGCGAATCCTCGTGAGGTCCCCAGCGCCACCCGCCCGGCCTATCGCACTGTTGGAGCACAACCCGATCGAAACCCCGCGCCGCCTCATCAACCTCCTCCCTCCCTCCGTTCTTCTTCCTGCTCCCTCCTTCGTCCTCCTCCTCTTTCCTTCTCCCTCTTTATCCTCCTCCTCCTCCCCTTTCTCGTCCTCCTGCTCCTCCTCCCCCCCTCCTTTCTCCCTCCCTCCCATCACGGGGTCTTGACGTTTGGTTGTGTCATTCTAAGCAGGCACGGCTGATACCAGGTGTGGACGAACGCGGATCATTCCCATGCCGACGTTGACGCTTCCTCCACCCCCCCAGGGGGAAAGGCGAGGAGGAAAACTGAGGTGAAGGAAGATGAGGGGGAGGAGGAGCAGGGAGGAAGCAGGAGGATCCCTCAGGACCTCCCAAACGTTTTAAGCCACTTCTTGAGTCGCCCCTCCCCCCTCTTCCCTCCCGTCTCCTTGTCCTCCAACCTCCTGCGGTTGCCCCTCCTCCATACCTTTCCCTTGCAAGCAGCCCCTCCTGTCGCACCGCCAGACACAGACATGTCGATAGAGTGGGTGGGCTGTTTCGCTTGAGATGCCCCACAATTTCGGACCCTGAAGCTGGACATGCAGAATCTATATGGATGGAGGGCTGGTGGTTTTCAACATGTAACTCTCGCCTTAGCGCCGCACACATTCACGTTTCTAGTTTACGACATTTACTTTGATGGAGGACGAATATTTTTAAAAGTGTGTCACTGGTCATACAGCCGATGCTTGTCCCACGAAGCATGGACCTGTTAGTACAGTCTGTATACATATATATACATATATATGTATAATGAATATCGAGGCTGCCGAACGTTTTGTTCACAAGAATTCGATGATGTAATAAGTAAGTGTTGGACTTGTTTGTTTCATTGCTTTCTGTGGGGCTGCTATACCCAACCTAACGTAGTTTCACAATATTGGGTCGTAGTGCGCGGTGATTGGCTCTGGACTGTGCGCAAGCCGAATCAGTATGTCGCGCCCCGCGATTCACCGAAACATGGGTGTGGTCTATGAATACTTGATTTAGCGACCACGACGCGACCTTTGAGTTGTAATAGTTCGTTTTTGAAAGCAAGGGGGATTAGACACTCGACGTTAAACATGCGCATGTGTTATTAGTTGGTCGTTCGTTGGCATCAGCAAGCTGGAGAAAAAGAAAAGGCAAGCGTGCACGCTGTCACAAGGAAGTTGCGGGCCGTTGGCCTTCAGGGCCACCGCGGTGGGCGCGTCCACCTGATTTGATGTGTGCGCGCTGGTATGGGAGACCCTCCCATTCCACGAAGGCACCTGGCGATCATGTGTTATGATCAGTTGTGTGCGGGCACTTTCATTGGGATGATGAAGACTATGTCCAGGGGCCCCCGCGCGATACCAGCGTTTTCGTCAGAACTGGCGAGCATTCATCGCCTCCGCGACGTGGCTGCGATGAACATGGCATTTTTCGTTGCCTTGGAGTTTGCCGAGTTGCGTATGCCGCGCAGGCATGGGGCTGGGGGGTTGACGCCCCCACGGTCCCAGAAAAGCAAGGGTCAAAACCATGTCGTTCGTTTGAAGGGGGGCAGGGTGAGCACGGAGCTGTGGTCCGAGTTCTAGGTTCTCCTGAAGCGGGACGCCCCGATGACGGCGACGTCCATCGTCCGCGCGGTGGACGCCATTTTGGGCCAGGTGCAGTCGGACCAACTGGACGTCGGTGTCCTGCAGGTCGTGCGTTCGGTGGCCAGCGGCGCTGCTCCCGCCAACCATGGTGCGATGAAGTTAGTGGCGGGGCATGGTCTCCGGCCTAATTCGCGTGCAGGGTGTTCTTGTGGTTTCGCGTGGCCCGCCGAGCCAATCTGGCGACAGCCAACGAAGTTGTTGACAGCAGTCAAATTGCTTCCGATGTTTTAGCGGATTTGTTGATATGTTGCGCCGAGTAAGTTGGGGGCAACTTGCGTTGGGACGCGGTGCGGGCTTGGGCAGACGTGGGCGGCGGCGGGGCGGCCGAGGGCGTGGCGTCGAAGCTGCGGCATTTGCGCGGAATGGGCGTCCTGGATGTGTGCGCGCCCAACTGATGCGTTGAAGTTGCCTCAGCGGTGTGCGACAGGTCAATGTCGCGCCGCGTTGCACGCGCCACTCTACGCGCCACTCAATGCCGCATCGACTCAATCGTGGGTCGTTTCTGGTCCATCACCGGATGCGTCACCTCTTTCGCGGGGATGACAGTCTTCGGTCGCCGGCCGTCCGCCGATGCATTTGCCTTCCGCGCCATCGATCCTGCGCGAAAGAACCGAGACAGACTGAGGTGGCTCCGCCACCCCGGATGAGCTCGGAAGGGCGCCGTTGCGCCGTCTAGTTGGCGTGCGTCGCCGAGGGCATTTCGGCGCAGACGTTGTCTGCGGGCCCGCGCCCCTCTCTGGCGCGCCAAGGCCGCGGGGAGGTCCAGGAACGCGTGTCCACGAAGGTCCGTGGGACCTCCCGCTGCTCGTGCGCGGCCCCAACCTGGATTGCGCGGGCGCAGTCGCGGACCTGTCCCGCGCGGCAGATCGGAAGATTCGCTGGCCCGAGGAGCGGGGGACTTTCGCGACAGCATTGCGGAAGTTGACAACGCGTCACTTTGTGCCGTCCGGGTGGCGCCCCGCGGCCGCCGCGTGATTCTCGGCAGGGTCGAGGGAGGTGTGTGGCGCGGGTTGGGCGCCCCCGCTGTGCCGAGATGTAGTGGCGTGTTGGTTGGCGGGCGTGGTTGGGGATCTCCGCGTGTCCCCGTCCGTTTAGCGGGAGTTGGAAGGCGCTGTCGTCGTCGTCCAGCGCGAGCGCCGAGAGGAATCGCGCGCGCGCGAGAGGTGGCGCGATGCCGTTTGCAAGGCGCGGTGGGGCTCGGGGGATCCCTGCCCAGTTCCGCGACGCCCTTGGTCGACCCCGTCGAGCCAGCGGCGCGGTTGCGGCGCTTGCTCCAGCGGCCCGGGGCGCGGGCGATTGGCGGGCAGTTTCAGAACATCTGCCTCGCTGTTCCGCGGGCGCCGTCGTGCAGCGCTGCCGTGTCGCGCGCCGTTGAGGTCCTCTGACGTTTGCTGCTCGGCGCAGCGTGGCGGGGATGCTGGGGCGCGTGCCTGTCTGCGCCGCGGCTGCCAAGCAGTTCCCGGACTGGCCCCCGGGGCTCCAGGGGGGGGCGGCGCGGCGGGCCCAGCGCGGCAAGTGGGCCCGCGTCGCTGGCCCTTGCGAGCGACCTGAGGCGCGCCGAAGTTTCGTTGCGGGATGCGCGGGGCGGAGTTCGAGGTGCATTCCGAGCGGGTCCGAGGCCGTGCCCAGGCGCCGCTGCCGCGCCGGAGGGGGTGGTTCTTCGCCCCTCATTCGGTTTCGGATGTCGATTCGTTGGGCGGTTCAGCGCTGGGAGACAACAAAAACGCGAAGCGCGATTCCTCGCGATGGGCGTGGGGGCATGGCGCCGACGCGCGGGGCGCCTAGTGCCCTACGGGGGCTTCCGCCCGCCCGCTCAGCTTCGGTTGTTGCTGCCGGGGCGAGTGCCCCTTCGTCGTGGATTCCGGTGGTGGCGCGGCTCGGCCTGGGCTTCTTCGCGTTCGCGCTCGGGCTCGCCATTGCGGGCGATCTCGTTGCGTGGTGCGCCCGCCTCAGGGGGCGGGGCCTCTGCGCCGTCTTTCGACGTTGGCGACGCCGCGCGACCGCCGCGGGGGCGGCGGGCGGCTTGTCCGAGGGCGCCGCCGAGGTCCAAGCGTTGAAGGTCACGGTGTAGATTATCCTTGTGGGCATCGCGCCAGCCTTCGACGCGGCGCCGGCTGTGTCGGGCCTTCCGAGCAGCGCCGCCCCGCCCCGGGGCAATGGCGATGGGTTGTGTTTTTTTGGCCGCTGCGACCTCGCGTCTGCGCCCCGTCTCGAGTCCGGCGCAGGGGGCGCGATTGGAGAGCTTTTGGGGGCGCGCGGCGAGGGCGGGGCCGAAGGCGAGGGGGCGGCGCGCGGGGTTCGCGCGGCCAGCGCGCGTCGCGTTGCTTTCGGCTCGCGCGCGGTTTGCGCGGTCGGCCACTGCGCCCTCTGCTGGGGCTAGGGGCGGCCCGGCGCCGAGATCGGGGCTGCCGCCCGGCGCTGCCCCCCCCCCCCCCGCAGAGATGCGGCGCGCGCTCGAGATGTTGAGGGCGCTCGCCGCTGGAGTGCTGCGGCGGTGCGGGGGGCCGCTGGCGAGGGCGTCGGCTGTTTTGGCGGCGCGGGCGGCGCGCCCGTCGGCCCGTCCGCCCCGCGCGGCGCGCCCGCGAAATGCGGCGGCCTCGGGGTGGCGTGTTCGAGGCGGGCGCCGCGGGCAGCCCGGGCTGTGGCCGCTCGGTCGGGCCGTGGGGCCCGGGCTCTGCCTCGGCCGATGGGCCGCGCGGACTGCCGCGTAATTTCGGCGCTCTCGCCCGCTTTCGTATCCTGCCGAGCGTCTCCGCGCCCGCTTCCGCGCCGCCCCGTCGGGCCGCCGCCGCCGGGCCCCGCGGCGCGGGCGGGGGGGCGGGGCGGCGGGCGGCGGGGGGGCCCGGGGGGGCGGGGGGCGGGGGGGCGAGGGAAGGAGGGGATGGGGCGCGGGGGGGGGGGCGGGCCAGGGCAGCGGCGAGGGTGGGGGGGTGGGGGCGCCGAAGATGAGGAGTGTGTGTGTGTGTGTGTGTGTGGTGTGTGTGTGTGTGTGTGTGTGTGTGTGTGTGTGTGTGTGTGTGTGTGCGTGTGCGGTGCGTGTGCGTGTGCGTGTGCGTGGGCGTGTGCGTGTGCGTGTGCGTGTGCGTGTGCGTGTGCGTTGTGCGTGCGTGCGTGCGTGCGTGTGTGTCTGTATGTGCGGGGCGGGGGGGGGGGGCGTCGTCGCCGTCGATGGCGAGGGGCCGTTCGCGCTGTATTGGCCGTTCAACCGTCTGGTCGTCATGGGCGTCTCTTCCCTTTCTCGCCCTTGTGCTCTCGCCCGCTCCTCCGCGTTCTTCTTCGTCTTTCGCCTTTTCCGTTCCCGCCGTCCTCGCCCCCCGCGCCCCCCCCCCCCCCCGGTCGCCTTCGTCTTCGCGCCCCGGCCGCGGGCCCCATCGGCGAGGTGCCAATCGAGGACTCGCGGGGCGGGGGCCGCGCCCCCGAGTGGAGTTCGGCCGCGTGCTTCGCCGCGGTCGCAGGCCGGCAGTTCATCCCGCGACAGCCGGGGCGACCTTGGCGGTTGTTGGAAAGGCTGCCCCCTGGCGGATTCGCCGAGGGCCCCCTGGGAGTTTTCGGGCCCGTTGACGCCCGGGCGGCGCGCGAGACCGCTCGCCGCTGCGGGCGACCCCGCGCCGCGCGAGGCGTCGCGGGCTGAGCGCGGGCGCCGTCCTCGAGCTTCGCGCCGCCTGGGAGATTGACGCGCGCGGCCTCTGGGGCTCGCCCGCGAGCTTCGGGCGCGTGAGACGCAGCGCGCCTTGGCGCGCCAGGTTTCTGAGGTCCCAGATTGGGAGATGAGCGCAGCGCCCGGGGCCGCCCGGGGCCCTGAGGCTTTCGGAACATGTTCAAGTGTATGTCGCATCGAGATAATGGATCCCCGCTGGCTGTGATCGTGGCGGCGTCCTTCTTTTCCGTGACATCACGTCGGTTGATTTAGCCTGGCACCCTTTGGCGTGGACACGCGGGCGCGCGGCGCAACAAGTGCCGGGCGGTCTTGCAGACGTGGGTTGCAGCCGACAACGAGGCGGTGATATTCTGGGCGTGGTTGCGCGGATTCTTTCCCGCCGCCGGGCGAGTTCGCCATGTATTTCGCAGTCGGGCAGCGCGCCCGAACGCGCCAGGGCCCCGCTGGCGCCATCGTGGGCCAATTGGTGGCAATATGTGTTTGCTTTCCATGTCGCCGCAGCTCCTTCTTTCCTGCTAGCCCCCGGTAACGAACAGACCGCTCCCTCGGGTGCGGTGGGCATTAATCTCGATCGCGTGGCTCGTGTTTGGTATCTGCCTGCGCAGCCAAGCGCCGTTGCTTCCAGTGGCGACGTGCCCCAGCGGTGCTGGCGGCAAAAACAGATCTTCGCGTCCGTTTTGGACCGACGTTGTGTCATTGATTTGTTGTGCTTCGGCGTGAGGGGCGGCCGCGCGCCTCCCGGGTTGCGACCGTGTTTTGGGTGGTTTCCCCCCCGCCGTCGTTGCGTCGAGGGGGGTCATCTCGATCGCGGAGCTCCTGTTTAAAGTGTGCTTGGGTGACCGTGTCGGCGCGCCTTTCCTGACCGCGGCTTGGAGCCAAGTCGCCGCTGACAGAAACGCCCGCGTAGCTTGGCGCTTCCCTTTCAGAAGCGACGTGCCTCAGCGGCGGCTCGGGCAGAAAAGGATCGTTGCGTCCGCTTTGGTTGCCTGCGCGCATGGGCCCAGCGGGGTAATCAAAGTTTGCGCGTATGTATAGAAACTGCGTAATCCCCAATGCGCCGCTTCTGTTCTCTACCGAAACAAATATCATCGCATCGATGTAAATGTGGGTGCAGTTCGGTCGGCGCTTTCTAAAGTTTTTTAGTTTTAGTTTGGTTAAAAAAAGCGGACGAACATCTCTCGCTGCCTGTCTGTCATGCCTTGTATTTCACAGCGTCGCGGCGCCGCGTTTGTCATGTCTCCTAAAGATTAACAGATGGGGTGCCGTTCTTTTCCAATGTGGGAATGCCGAGTGATACTAGGTTTTCCAGCCAGGATTGTGGTCGAGGGCGTTTTTTTAAAAATCGAGGTCGCGCTGGGGAGGTCCGATTTTTGAATGCTGGTGTGAATGGCGTAACAATCCGGCCCTCGTCTTTCAAGGGGAAGCTCCCCGCACTGGGCAAACATGCTCGCAGGGGTTTGTGAATACAAAAGCTGGGGTGGGATGGTGTACCGCAGCGTTGTTGATGTCTGGTGGGGTTACTCTGTTCTTTCTCTTTTCCTCCTAGGCTTCAGACGCCATGCTGTCGTTCGCATCGTGGGCCCACTGGCCATTTCCCTGGCGCTCGCTTTTCATTCCGAGTTGTTTGTTGGCGGTTCTGGGACCCACCAGAATCCGAATATTGGGAAACGTTCGCCGTCGTGATTTTCCCGCGACGCGAGGGGAGGGGTCTCCTGGCGGAGGCAGTCTGTGCAACCCCACGGGGCGTGGCGCTTCTGACCCTGTCCTCGGTCCGTTTCCCTCCTCCGAGCCCCGTCCCCTGAAGAGCGGCAGGGCGGCCCGGGGGCGCCTGGCTGGACGTTGCGGCGGCGCCACGGGCACTCCCTGAAACGGCGCCCGCGGTATCCTGCTCGTCGTCATCCCAGACTCCAGCCGCGCGGTGATGATGACAACACTGATTTTGACGACGATGGCGATGCCAATGGTGATGGCGATGGCGATTGCGATGATCATGATCATGATTCTGATGATGGTGATGATGATTCTGATGATGATGGTGGGGATTGTGATGATGGTTGTTGTGGTGGTGCTGATGATGATGATGATGGTGATAATCATGCTGATAGTGATGCTGATGATTATGAGGATGATGACGATGATGATGACGATGATGATGATGGTGATTGTTCTTATGATGGTGATCATGATGATGGTGTTGATGTTGGTGATCATGGTGATGATGCTGATGATGAGGATGATGATGATGCTGATTCTGATGATGATGGTAGTGATGATGGTGATGGTGATGATGGTGATGATGCTGACCATGATGACGATGCTGATGATGGTGGTGATAGTGATGGTGATGGTGACGGTGATGATGATGCTGATGATGCTGCTGATGATGATGATGATCAGGTTTAGGATGAGGAGGAGATGCAGTAACGCTAGTGGCGGTGATATAGTGATGACCTTCGGTAATGCTGATGATGTTGTTGTTGACGAGGCGGCAGTTTCTACATCTGATGATGGCGATGATGCTGACGAAGACGATGATGACGATGATGATGATGATGATGATGATGACGATGACGATGACGATGACGATGGCGATGATAATGATGATGATGACGTTTCTGATGATGATGCTGATGATGATAATGACGTTGACGATGACGATGACGATGATGATGATGATGATGATGGCGATGATGATGACGATTCTGATGATGATGATGATGATGATGGTGATGATGATGATGGTAACGATG